CAGTAGAAGACAGAAGGTAGGGGAGAACTGAGGAATAAGAATGCTGGAGGGGACTTCAGAGATGCCTGTCATCAGGGATGAGTGTGTAGTGCAGCCCATTGCCCACGGAGGAGCCGCTGACTTGTCCACAGCTACCCAGCTAGCCTGGGGCAGAGCAGCAATGAGGCTGAGGCACTCCGACTTGGCTGCTAAGAAAATCTCATCTCCACCAGATTGTAAAATTAGAAAAGTCTGTCTGCATTAAGGAAAAAATGCCTGAGAATTTGGATACAGAATAAGATGGCATGGATGGCCCCAATCTGCAGCAGAAGAGGAGTATGCAATGCAGCTTGATGGGATTGTGAATCCATCCAAAAGCCCAGGTTTGATGTAGTGGAAGGAGCAGTCCTGGCTGTGTCACTTATTGCTGATGTGGCCTTGGGCAAGTCACTTCCTCTCTGTAGGTCTCAGTCTCCTCATCTGTGAAATGAAAGGGTTGAAATAGATGGCCTCTAAGATCCATCCCTTCTTGCTCTAGCTCAGTGATCTTAGGACCTTTCAAGCAGTTAGAAACACAGCCCTTGACAGCACATTTAGAATCTAAAGTCATTTGCAAAATGATAAAAAAGTATTTACTAAGAGTATTTTCTTCCAAAATATTAAATAGTAGTGTAGAGGAAATTGAGGCTGCAGAAAGCTTGATGTGAAACTCAGTTAAACTGCATCATCCCCAAACCAAGCCATTTATGGTTGAAACTGGAAAAGAGGATGACAAATATAAATGAGATTGGAAATGATCCGTCATCTATTCCAAGGTGTTAGATTTCATTGACGCCAGTGAACCACCCCTTAGTTCATAATGTACTTATTACGTAAGGAAGTTGAACTGGTGCTCGAGGTGTTGAGGTCAGGAACAGCTGGCCCAGAGCAAGTGCACACAGAGAATATCTGTGCTGCAGGCGACGCCATTTTGAAAGGCTTGATGAATCAGTTTTCAGGATGTCTGGGGAATAGGGGGAAGATTACCTAAATGGGGGGGTCATATTTAATTTTACTACCAATAAAAGGCAACTAAGAGGACATTAGTAACTGATTTATATGCCTATTTTCTTGTCACTATAAAATCATTATGAGAATGATCTAAATATATGATCGTAAAGCAGGGCATTCTTGATGAAAATATGAGAGATATGCCAGTCATTTAAGGAGCCCGAAGCATAACAGGGGACAGCCTGAGTGTTATATTGGTGATCATAACAATAGTAAGAAGGCTTTTCGGCATGCTGTTTGGAGTCGGTAAAGAATTTCTGAGAGGACGAGAATTGGGCAGGATGAGAAGGCATGGAGGGGTGGTCATCTGCAACTGGGAGGGTTTTAAGGATCGAGGAATGCTTCATATGTGAGCCTGGAGCAAGCGGCTGAGAACTAAGACAGTCGGCTGTATTCCCAGATAAGCGTTGGGTTCATCGTGCCTCTCCTGTCCTGTACTTAGTGAGTGGATTTTTGGACCCTGTTCCACTTCACAGTCATCTCTGCTCGGTCCCATCCCACATTCAGCCTGGTGAACCTTTTGGGATCCTGCCTTTGTCACCCAAAGCGTTAGTAGTTACTCCTCCTTCTTCTGTATCGTCTGCAAGTTTGCCCAGTGTGCCATAGATGCCTTCATCCAAGTCATTCATAAGAATGTTAAAATTGCAAGATGAGGCAGTCAGTGAAGTGCTCCATCAGAGGACTTCCCAGTTTGCGCTGACTCATTATGACTCCCCTTTTCTAGTGTCCAGTCATTCAACCAGGTCCCAATGTGCCCACCTCATGTCCCAGCCATCATCCATCCCACTTCTCTCCGTTCTCCCCTGAAAAATGCCCTGACAGTCCTAGTTTGCTATGTCTGCAGCATTCACTGATCTACCTTTCTCTTGTCTCTTTTGTCCCAAAAGGAGGTGGGATTAACCTGGCATGAGCTGTTTGGGGTAAAGACATTCTGGTTTTTGACTACTGATGTTTCTATAGGATCATAGTGTAACAAGGGTCATCCCATGAAGCACATTCCAAGGTTCCCTCTTGACTCTGACAAACCCTTGGTGTGCTCTCAGGGTCAGCCAGAAGCAGGAGGGGCGACCCTGAGCACGCTTCGTGGAGCGGACTTCATAATAAGAGTATCATAGAGCTCCAGGGACTTTAGAAATATAACCGGGGCAGCTAGGTGGCACAGTGTATAGAGAGCTCTGGCCTTGGAGTCAGGAGGACCTGAGTTCAAATCCAGCCTCAGATACATAACACTTACTTCTAAGCAAGTCACTTAACCCCATTCACCTCACAAAATAAAATAAAATAAAATGAAAAAATAAATAGAAATCTAACCCCTTCATTTTACAGATAAGGAGGCTGAGGCCTAGAGAAGGTGATTGCTCAAGTCATAAGGAGCAAAGCTGGTCTTCTGACCCCAAATGCAGCATTATTACCATGACCAATCCTTTTGATCAATGAGAACTTTCTAGAACACATGATTAGAGGTGAGATTGCCAGCTCCTCCTCCTTCCCTCTGGACCAGTTGCCATTTCCCCACCCTGTGGCACCTCTTCCACTCTCCACGTGCCTCAAAGAGCCCTGCCCGTGGCTCAGTGACCACATGCCCTGGTTCTTTCTTTCCCCCCTCAGAGTCTCTAGTGGGTGTCACCTTCTGGGTCTGGGGCTTGAGTTCATGGAAGGAAGAGGAGGTCAGACATTTTCTTACTCTCGTCTCACTTAATATTTGGTTTTGTTTCCCGGTGAATCCTTTTCTTGCCTCTTTCTCAATCTAAACATTATGCCTCTTAAGAGGAAATAACAGCAGGATAACGTTTAGAAGCTGTCTCAGCCAAGGGTAGAACTTGTGGGGGGAAGGAGGGGACCAGCTCCTGTCACCAGGAGAGGCCCACGGTCATCATTTTGACAAGCCTCAAACAACGAACATGTATTTTGGAGGAACCTGCTGTGGTGCTAGGGGACTGAGCAGGAACAAAGAAGGGTAAGGTGCAGTCCGTGACCATTAACTGCAGGCACCGGCACCTGACCGAGAGAAAGATAAGGAGCAAAAGACAGTCCGGGATGGGGGCGTTCTGAGGAGGGGAGAGCATCTGGGGGAGGTAGAGTGGGCGGGGGAGGCTTTCCTTGGAGGACGGGGTTGAGTGTGGCGTCTAAGAGCAGGAGATGAACAGATGACGCCGCGACCCACTGGCCTTTGCCCATCTTTTAGGCCCGTGGTAATGAGCGGGAAACGGAGCAGGGCGAGAGCCTCAAAGATTAAACAGCCCTGCTTGTCATTTTGTTCTCACTCAGGGATTGAGAACCTGCGGCCTCGAGGCCACATGTGAGGCTGCACTTGAGGACCTAGAGGGCTACATGTGGCCTCGGGCCACAGGCTCCCCATCCCTGCTCTCACTTCTCAAAAGGAACCACATGCTATCCTTGTCACCTCCACTGGGTCCCTTGGGAATATCAGCGCCAGCCCTACCTCCCCAACATTGCCCAGGGCCCCCTTAAGATCTGATGAGCAGGTCCACAAATATGGCCCTCCCTGCCCCTCCTTCCTCAGGGGGCTGATGTGCGGGTACAGTTAACAATGAAGGTGAACAGGTCTCCTGTGCTCTTTAGCATCCTACAGATAGAGTGCTAGCATTATTATAAACAGATACCATACAAGGCAGAAGTCATTAATTTAGGCAATGTAACGGAATGTTTGCTTTGTTGTTGACCATCCCTGAAGCCCTGGCTCGCTGTTTGACATTAAACAGGCCCTGGAGAAACAGCGAGGTTACTGGCTCCCTTGGGGTGCCAGGGACCACCTCAGCAGCAGGATGTGGTTTCTGGCAGGAGATGACGTGCCTTGGAGTGAGGGAGCAGAGAGGCTGAGCTCTTGAAACGCTGCCCCGCCCCTCCTCTGTCCATCGCCCTGCAGTGTAGACCAGGGCAGGATCAGCAGGGATGAGAAACAGAGGGGAGCTGAGCAGAGAGGGGGCGTGTGGTGGTGGCAGAGCTGAGGAGAGGTGGCAACCAGCCCTTTGTTGTACTTCTCTCCGTGACACACGCTTAATGTGTTATAACCAGGGACAGTGCTCGGTACACAGCAAAGGCTTAATAAATGCTTGTACGAGTGAATGAAGAGAAAAAGAGTCAAGAAGTGTTTGTCAGCAAAGTGTATCCTGTTTTAGATCATGACCTGCCTCATAATTTATTCAGATAGATTTTCCAAGTGAATTCACAGTAGTCAGGGAAGTTGAAGAAGACCTGAGTTCAAATCTGGTCTTGGGTACTTACTAGCTATGTGACCCTGGGCAAATCACTGTTTGCCTCAGTTTCCTCATCTGTAAAATGAGCTGGAGAAGGAAATGGCAAACCACTCTAGGATCTATGCCAAGAAAACCCCAAATGGGGTCATGGAGAATTGGACGTAACTGAAACAACCGAACACCAAGGAAGTCTTCCTGCACATCATGGCGAGTGGCACTGAAGCGCCTCTCATGGACCATTGTGCTGGGCAGTGCCACTCTGGTGACCTGTGCCACCTGCTTCACCTGCCCCAGGGGTCTAGTGCTGCATCTGATGAGCCCCAGCGAGGGGATGTTCAGACTCTTTTTAAAAATAATGTCACCAAACTGTTCACTTGTGCCGGCACCCAAACCATAGGCACAATTGTACCACATAGATATGAACCCTTGGTACCAGCCCAGGGCGCCTGGGGGATGCGTTCCTGAGAACCTTGCCCACCAGGGCAGGTCATCCAGTGCCCTGGCGGGTATGGAGCAGGGAGCGCTGGGAAGTGTCCCCACCACACGTTAGCATTCTCTTCATCCCTGTCTTAAGTGTAGATGTTCAACACCCAAACAAGCCGAGCTCTGATCCTTGTGCTTGTCAATGTCCAGAGTGCCAGGACTCGTTCGGGCTGGTTCCAGCACCCCCAGGAGCCCAAGGGGTCAGAGGGCAGAGATGCTGCTCTCCTGCCTGGCTTGTGCACCAATGTCAATTCTGCTTCTCTCTTTCAGAATGCATGAACTGTACCCGGTTGAACGACATGAGTGAGAGGCTGTCTGCACTGGAAGTCAAGGTCAGGACCAAGCCTGCTTGTGGGGGGAGGGCAAGGGGGAGGGAGGAGAGGAGGAGGAGGAGGAAGGGCTGCTGGCCACGTGTTCCCATCTCTGCTTCCCATTAGGCGCAAAGTGGATGGTAGACAGGCAACCCATTCAAAATGGACACCCCTATCCCAATCCCTGGCCCGTCCTAGGGGAGAAATTGGACTGAAGGGCAGGGCGGGCATTTCTGATTTGGATTTCTCACACTGCTTGTAGGGGTTGTACAAAGTCATGAAGTCAGCAACACTGGGCCACTTTCCCTCTTGTGCTCTCGCCTCAAGGCTGTACATACCTCCATGCACACACACACACACATACACATACACCCCCAATCAAAGAGGCGCATATCCTGGTCCTCCAAGCATGCACACATGCACACAGCAATCAAAGAGGTGCATGTCCTGGTCCTCCACACATGCTCACACACACCCATACATGCACACACACACACATACACATACACCCCCAATCAAAGAGGTGCATATCCTGGTCCTCCAAGTATGCACACACGCACACACATGTGCATGCACACACACACACACACCCCAATCAAAGAGGCGTGTGTCCTGGTCCTCCACGCATGCACACATGCACACACATGTGTGCACACACACACACACACACCCCAATCAAAGAGGCACGTGTCCTGGTCCTCCATGCATGCACACACGCACACACACACCCCAATCAAAGAGGCACGTGTCCTGGTCCTCCATGCGTGCACACACACCCCAATCAAAGAGGCGTGTGTCCTGGTCCTCCGTGCATGCACACATGCACACACCCCAATCAAAGAGGCGCGTGTCCTGGTCCTCCACGCATGCACACACGCACACACATGTGCACACACACACACACACACACACACACACACACACCAATCAAAGAGGTGCGTGTCCTGGTCCTCTACGCATGCACACATGCACAAACATGTGCACACACACACACCCCAATCAAAGAGGCACGTGTCCTGGTCCTCCATGTGTGCACACACGCACACACATGTGCACGCACACACACACACCCCAATCAAAGAGGCGTGTGTCCTGGTCCTGCACACATGCACACACATGTGCGCGCGCACACACACACACACCCCCCAATCAAAGAGGCGTGTGTCCTGGTCTTCCACACATGCTCACACACACCACACACGCACACACACCCCAATCAAAGAGGCGCGTGTCCTGGTCCTCCACACATGCTCACACACACCCACACATGCACACGCACCCCAATCAAAGAGGCGCATGTCCTGGTCCTCCACGCATGCACACATGCACACACATGTGCGCACACACACACACACACACACACACCCAATCAAAGAGGCGCGTGTCCTGGTCCTCCATGCATGCACACACACCCCAATCAAAGAGGCGCGTGTCCTGGTCCTCCACACATGCTCACACACACCCACACATGCACACACACCCCAATCAAAGAGGCATGTGTCCTGGTCCTCCGTGCATGCACACATGCACACACACCCCCCAATCAAAGAGGCGCGTGTCCTGGTCCTCCACGCATGCACACATGCACACCCATGTGCGCGCACACACACACACACACACACACACACACACGCACACCCCAATCAAAGAGGCGCGTGTCCCGGTCCCTACTTGGGTCAGAGCTGATGAGACTGCAGGAGTTTGCCCACCCCTGCTCCGGGCATTGTCCCAGAAGGCAGCCGGCTTTGGGAGGTGGAAGACCGCTGCTCAGAGAAGCTGCTCCGGTCCTGCTGGGCTTGATGCTCCCTGCCTGGGGGACCGTGGGCAGAGCACTGGCCCTGAGGTCCTAGGTCCCTGACCTGGGCCTGAATCCTGTCTCCACTCTGCCTGTGTCACATCCCTCTCTTTGGGGTTTTCTTGGCAAAGATACTGGAGCGGTTTGTCATTTCCTTCTCTGACTCATCTTACGGATGAGGAAACTGAGGCAAACAAGGACTTGTAGTAAGTGTCTGAGTCTGGATCTGAACCCATGTCCTCCTGACTCCAGGCCTGGTGCTCTATCCACCACACCGCTTGGCTGCCCTGTGACCCTGGGCAAATCCCTGAATGTCTCAGTGCCTCAGGCAACCCACTAAGTCTATACTAAGACTGTCTGAGGAGAGGGAGTTTCCTCCTAGTAGAGAAATCTCTATTAGGGCTTAGGATGCCCTGCTCTCCCCTCTGGGCCTCGCTTTCCTCATTTTTAAAATGGGAGAGTTGCATTAGAGCACCCCTTCCCAAACTCTGTTCTCCAAATGCTGGTGCCCTGAATGCTGGGAAAAGAGGCTTCATTTCCCCAGAATTTTGAGGTGCTGGTTCTTTCCACAGAAAACAAGAGTTTGGATGGCTATGATGGTTCCTAGGACTTAGAGCTGAGAGGGTCCTTGGCCATCACCTCACTTTACAGAAGAGGAGCATGACTGTGGCATTAGAAGCCCTGAGTGCCAATCTCAGCCGAGCCTCAGTATCTTCTCTGTCAAGTGAGGGTCATGGCAGGAAGGTCCCCCCATGATCCTCAGGGTAGGTCAGAAGAATGTTGCTTAGCACTGCAGGCAGCTTGCCTGGTTTGGGCTAAGTGCTGCCAGACAAGGATCCTGACCCGGTGAGGATCTGTCCCACTTTAGACTCTCTCCTTGATCTTCTGCACCCCACTCCTCACTGAGGCACCCCAGAGGCTGCCACCGACTAGCCACTGTTGCGTGACCACTGTATGTTGGGATAGTCTAAGAGCTGTCTCACTCTGGGAGCCCAGATCACCAGTGCCCAACTAAGGGAAGCGTATGTCTACTCATACGGCCTAAGAATTTTAGCCACCAGATTACAAACTGAATTTCCCTTCAACCGTGTCTAGCTAGACCCCCTTCTGCCTAACCATGGCCACCACTACAGTCATGTGAGCATAGAATTAAGGCTGAAAGGGACCTTAGAGGCCGCCAAATCCAACCCCCTCATTTTACGGATGAGGAAACTGAGGTCCTGGGAGGTTATGACTTGAGTCAGCATGATCACACCAGGCTCCCTTCATTTCTTTTCTTGGCCAAGTGAATGCATTGGAAGATCAGAGAACCGTCATAGACGTGGTATACCTGGATTTCAGCAAGGCCTTTGACACAGTCTCTCATACTGTCGTTTGGACGAGGTGGAGCAAGATGGGCCAAACAACAGGACAGTTCAGTGGGTTCAGAATGTTCCAAAAGACTAGATCCAAAGAGTCATCATTAATGGTTTGATGTCATCGTAGGGGGGAAGGTCTCTGTGGAGTCCTCTCAGGATCTGTCCTGGGTCCTGTTCTGTTTTGATGGATGGCTCGGAGAAGGCACCTATCCCATTCTTAGCCACTTGGCAACAACCCACCTGGGAATAACACACTGGATGACAGACTCAGGATGCAAAGGAGCCTGGGCAGTCTAGACCAAAGGACTGAGGCTAATGGGAAGAATTTTACCAGGGTAAATGTAAAGTCATTCAAAAAGATCAGTTACATAAGGACAGGAGAGGGAAGCCTAGCTTAACAGCAGCTCCTGTGAAAAGGATCTGAGATTATTAGACCTGCAAGCCTCAGATGAGCCAGAGGCTCCCGTGAACCCTGGCATGCTCCCCTCCACGAAGGAGGGGTTGGCACTCTGGGCCCTGCCTCAACCTGAGCGCCACACCTGGGGAACATTAGGAGAAATTTGACAAAATAGACAAAGTCCAGAGGATCTGGGCAACCAGAGCTATGAGAGAAATATGGCATCTTGCCATTTAACAAACACTTATTACATACAAGGTGCAGCTAAGTAGTACAGTGGATAGAGCACCAGGCCTGGAGTCAGGAAGATCTGAGTTCACATCTGGCCTCAGACACCTACTCAGCTGTGTGACCCTGGGCAAGTCACTTAACCCCTATTTGCTTCAGTTCCTCGTCTGTAAAATGGGGACACACCAGAGAAGGAAATCTCAAGACACTCTAGTATCTTTGCCAAGAAAAGCCCGTGGACAAAGCCCATGGGTTCACTTAGAGTCAGCCATGACTGAACAACAATATACAAGGCACTGTGCTAGCTGCCAGGGGTGTGGACAAAAATGAAACGGGATTGTCTGCACGAAATGGGCACACTTGGCCTTTAGAAGACAGGATTTGGTCAAAGATTGGAGTCTGTCATTTTGCCTGACAAGAGCTAGTATCTCTGAGAACCACAGCATGCAGGGCTTGTATTTGGGAAGATCTGGATTCAAATCCTGCTTTAGATACTCTCTGTGGGACCCGGGGCGAGTCACTAACTTCTCTGGGCCCAAGTTTCCTCATCTGTAAAATGGGGATGATGATACCCAGACTGCCTCCCTCACAGGGTTGTTGAGAGGCTCAGATACAACAGTGTGGGAAGCCGCACATTCAGTGAGTCATTAGGAGTCAGACCATTCCTCACCTTCCTTGCCTTGGGTCCTGCTCTGTCGCCCGTGGACTTTGCTGTACCCCCAACCTCCAACTTAACGTGTTCCCTCCTGCCACAAGAAACACCACAGCAAGGGAGTGAGCTCACCCTCTCCTCCTGGGCCACTGCCTTCTGCTGAGGGTGGGAACCATAGGAAAGGGAATCTTATTAGATGAGGAAGTGTACGGAGTGGGTGGCATTGACAGATTCCAGCATGGAGCTAGGTGAGGAGAGGCAGCTGAATGTGATCAGGCCTGTTGTGGGATGTTGGCCTCAGAAGGTGCCAGGTCTCTGTCTCTGGAACCAGAGGTGTGAGTGAATGGGGAGTCCAGGGAGAGGAGGGTGGTGGTGCCTCCCAAGGCATGGCCTTCATGGAGCCGACATTCTTCCCTACCACATGCGACCTCCACATGGCTTGGCACGGATCAGGGGGATTGACAGCCTCAGTTTGCAGCTGGCCGAGGCTCAGAACACAAGGATGTGAAAAGTCACAGCCCTTTGGGGAGGCCAACATGGCTTCATGCCCGCCCACCATCGGCCTGGCACTCACCAGCATAGAGCACAGCT